CGTATATCATAAATAAATATCCATAGACTAACTGACTTTTTATTACAACACGATAGAAAATTTCATATTGATTCTATAATGCCAAACTCCTATATATATATATATATATATATATATATATATATAAATATACTAAAATTTATGGATTAGTGCTGTGGGTGGGTATGGTCGGATCCGACCATTTGGGGTTTGAGAGGTTAAAAAAACTGAATCCGGACAAAACAGAGCAGTAGTCGCACGTTATTGGCTCCATTGAATTATTCACTCGGTATTTAAATATACACTCATCCATTTTCCAATAATAGGCCAATCGGAAAATTCCATTAATGTATATTCGCTAACCGGATAACATCTGACAATAAAATACCTGTCTGACTGTACCTTTATAACGGATTTGAAGTAATTTTTGAAGTAAAAACTTCTTTCGAATCGTGATTTGAAACTAGATTAAACCAAAAAAAGACAAACATACCCATCTATAGTATTTTACTATTTAGCGTGCAGGAGAATGAGATTGAATACAGTATAGTATCCTTACTGATCATAGATCACATGCATAATCTCCATACATAATAGTGTACCCTATTATGTATGGAGATTATGCATGTGATCTATGATCAGTAAGGATTAAATACGAAATTTGTTGATTAGAAACTATAAAGTAGTTACGACTATATAATATGTAATATAATATATGTAAAATAATTTTTAAATTTGGCACCAATAAAACCCACAATTATCCTACTACTAATACTCTGCTTTCATCTCATTCTCTCGAAGTTTACTGAAGGTTTCAGTTCTACCACGTGTGAACTGCACACATGTTCTTTTTATAGACATAAGGGTGACACCGCACCGTCCCAAACATGAGGAAAACCATGTAGTGGCGGTGTAAGCATATCCACTACGTTTATTATTCTATGGGTGTCGTAAGAGGCGACAGAGGTAATAAAGCCAGGAGATGGGCAGCAGAGTCTTCCTAAACAAACTAAACACTACTTTAAGCCCGGTTTACATTTTGAAAGGTTATTACCTATTACGTGCGAGTGGCAAGTGCAACTGACAAATGACAAGTAATTCTATTGGAATCGAGGCATTCCATCATCTTAGCTCAGGGGTGAAAACGCATTTGCATTTTGATCCTTAGTTGAAGATAAATGTGGATGTGTACAGACCCCAGCATTCACTTACCATCAGGTGGACTGTGTGCTCGTTTGGCATTCGGTATTCGGCGTGAGACCGAATATACTATTCGTTGCAAGTCTACTACAAACTAAAATAAATGTAATAAGAGCAACTATATTTTCAGACAAATATGTCCGACAGTCCGCGTCATTCCTGAAATGCATAAGCAATGAGTCCCGGACAATCCCGATAAATATTCAAGTAGTACTTCCCGAGGGACGTCGTGAGCGCGATTATATGAGACAAGTGGAAGCCCCGTACTACTTCCGTACAGAATAAAATTAAATTATAACACTGAAAAAACCATTTTGTTGTGATATGCAGATGTTTAAGATTTTTTTTCTGTGTATAGTATATTTAACTTGAGTTGTATAGTTTTATATTTTGAATTTTGATGACATAATTAAACCATCAAGCCCCATTCATAAAAACATTAAACTTTGAACATAACATGTACGAGATAATATGACGCACCTGGATTTTGATTCTTAATGAGGATATGATGAGTGTCTATGAGACGCAGCACCCATTGTGGGTTGATGGTTTATTTGTCACCAAGAATAAAAATGCAAATGCATTGTCACTCTTGAAAACTAAGGTGGAATTCCTTATTTCCAATAAAAAAAGTTATCTGGTTCTCTACACTCAACACAGCACAGAGCTGCTATTTTATGCTGGTATATTATAAGTTGGTTCTTCCCCAGTACAGGCTAACCCATTCATGCTACAATCATACAACTGTAGTGTGGCAGTACCACAGTTATCTTTCCTTCACCTAGTCAATCCTAACTTAAAATTTCATGAGTGCCAGCAGTAATCACTCCTGGACTGCTAGTTAACAGGGAAGTTTTTTAGACATGTAAATTATTGTTAATTAAGTGGTAAAATTAAAAATTTGTACAACCAACTTCAATATAAATAAAATAAGAACATTATCAATATAGTCTAAGTCAATTAAATATATAAGCATTAAGGATAACTCAACTCGTCAGATCTTGATCAAGTTTATATGGGACCACACAAGAAGCACCAGCTTTAAAATAAAAAAAGAAGCATTAAAATTGGTTCACCTGGAGAAAAGTTCCGAGGTAACAAACAAAAAGATACAGTCAAATTGAGTACCTCCTCCTTTTTAGAAGTCTGTTAAAACCAAAGAACCCAAATGCAAAAGTTTATTGTTAAAAATATTAAAATTAAGTTCATCAGAATGCACTTCTAAATCGAAGTGCATTCTGATGAACTGTAAAATGTCTTTAGGCCATCGCAATGGTATTATTGCCATCAAATGTAGCTGACGACTCTTCAAATATGAAGATGAATCAACAACACCATACACTACTTTAAAATATTTTCAGCCATTTAAGATACAGGTCATAAAGACAAATTTACAGACAAACAAAACATAAATCTCTAGAACAGTCTGTAGAAAAGTCAAGGTATATTATAAATATTAATTGGGAACATTATATAGCAGTTTCGACTGTATGGTAGTTATTTTACTTAAATGAACAAACAGAGTGACACCTTTGACTTTTTGGCTCTAACAAACACTATATTCATGAGGAGGAAATCAGCCCCACAGTTGCAGTGCATCGAAACCCGTCATAATAGCAATATATTGAATTATGAACATTTTATACATTGAAATTCAAACATGAGAAGCCTACTTGAACTGCCTCTCTATACCCTTCAGACCTGAATACAGCAGGGAAAGGACTGCTATTTAGCGGCAGAAATAGGTATCCTACACAGTATACATGTCCTACCATTTAGCATATTATGTTTTGAATATGTATGTATATCACTTATTTTCCTCATTTCCTCCCTGTTTTCCTCACAAACAACAGTGTTTTGAAGCATTATGTATGATTTGTTGAATAATTTTCGTCTTAACCTTCTGAAGCCAATTTCAATCCAATCAGACAACTCCAATTCAATCCAAAAGATAAATATAGATTCAGTGTAAACCCTACAGTTTAATCTTGGCTCTGTACTCATTTAGCCCTACACCCATCATACAGAATACCAATTCAGTATAACACACACAGTATAAGTAAGTAGTGATAGTTGGTAGTACATATCCCTAAGGAAAGAACACAAGTATAACCCAAAGTATCAGTATCTACAAAAATAGTCTATCATTACTACACTATTTCATGCAATAATAGTGATAATACAAGCAAAAACAATATACATTTGACAAAACATTTACTTAACAATTTATACGGATCACTGCAGTTAGATTTGTTTAACAAGTGAAACTATTAAAAAATTTATACACCACATTTTTTATCATATTCTTACATTGTAATCACAATTTGAGCTATGTTCAGAATTTCAAGTTTCCATCTACTATTTATTTTATTTATATATATATATATAAAAAAAAAAAAGCCATAAAACAAATCTGATCTTGACATAAAATTTATTATTACTATGGGGTATTTATGGAGTTTTCTCATCTGGTTAGGCTGAATAATAATATATAAAAGGAAATGCAATAAATATACTTAAATATATATTGAATATACTAACATAAATAAAAGCCTAACTAGATGGAGCCTCTCGGCAGGGCTTACCAAACAGCCGAGGGTTAGGGGGAAAGGGAAAGAAACCAGGAAACGATGCAGGTGATATTGAGGAGCACTGCCTTCCGCATTTGAGTCCAGAGTGGTCAAAATTCAAATATTAGTGAAACTAATGATAACCGTAGCTCGAAGTGTCCTTCCGACTAGTCAACCCAAATGGATGACAGCTACATCTAGCTACAGTAAGCTATTTTCAGCAAATTTCAAGAAAAAGAAGTTCTATTATTAATTCCATTATTCAATTTTCGTCTATTTTTTTGTATGTATGCTGCGGGATATTACCTAGCTAAGCTCAAGGTGCAATAGTGTCCTATAAATTCCCAGTATTTTACTGTATGCAAATATTTAAAATAATGTTACTATTAGCGAAAATACACAATTATTGTCCAAAATGTTTAATTACCTTCTATTTACTCTGTTAATTGTTAGCAGAGGGATATCCGAATAAATAAATACTATATTATTTGAAAACAAATAATTTCGATCAACTTTTTAATTATATAGCATGATCTCATTTAAATTCGGTGAATAATTTCAATCCCTCAGGGTTGAAACTAATTTACTAGGGATGAAGATTTTAATGTATACTATTTAAGACTACATTCTAGTTGTCATGTTGATCTAATGTAATTTTTTTTCAAACTCAAAGAGTCAAAATACATAATATGTAACTTTAATAAGTAAGAGCAGTTTTCAAGGAACTGAAAAACAAAAAATAATTAAAATAATATCAATATATTAGTTTCTGAAGTCCAGGCACCGTTTTCTTTTCTATACTACATCACAATTTAAATATTTGACTACATCTTATTCTTTACTTCAGGAATTAATTTGTTAAGACATGTCATAACTATTATAAAGAAAAGGAAGATAAAAACCTGAAGCTTTCAAGTGATTTTATTATTTGTATGTTCAATAATATATCAAATTATGAGTGTCTAATGTTCTGGTGAGACATTACAAGATAGGGAAGTAATTCTGAATGAACATCAGAAATTGTTAAGTTTAGATAGTATAAAATATAAACTTAATGACATGTGTAAAACAACAGGTATCACAGACAGATAAAACCTTATAAAAATAATTTAATTTTAAATGAAAGAAGTAATTTTAAGGAAAATAAAGTAAAGGAATTACCTTTGTATTTGTATGTATGATAGCATTTAAGGTTAGATTTGTAACGAAAAGGTAATATTTATCAAAATAGTATAAGAATAAAACACTTACCTCTTTTTCTGGTCTTGATCCGTTGACCCGATAATACTGGTTTTTCTACCTTCTGACTCATACAATATATTGCTGAAACCAAACACGTGGCATTAGGAACAACGTAGTCATTAGGGAAAGGTAGGTCGAGGACCCGTTAGATGTCACGGATGGGTCATCGGCCGCCTGTGATCCTATCGCGACAGGCAGTAAACATGTCTATTAAATCTCCCAAATACACATGGCGACTCCAGGATATAAAGAAAGCTATGCAATCAATTGGTATACTACAATCAACCAAATAAATGTTACCTAGTAAAACTATTTGTTGTATGACTCAGCAAGGACAATACACCGCGTGATTTTAATGCAATACAGAACGCAATACTCTATTACTTATTTTTTATGTGTGCACTGATACTTACGTAGTGACAGGTTACGTAGGAGCCTTTTACTCCTTTTGCGAGTTCTCTCGGACTGCGCCTGTTCAGAAAAGAAAGAAAGGCTGCAACGATCTCTATTCCCTCGAGAACTAAAGACAACGTGTATGGAGTCACCGGATTTCCGGTATTTGAGGTCACGAATATCGATTTGAATATTCTGTTGCTGCAATAATATTTAATTTTCGTCCCCAAATAATTTAAATGGGCTGTAACGTGTTTTCTGATAAAGAATTATAAATGAAGATAGAAATAAAATATGTTTAATAACTTAAAAGAAAGTAACTACAAAAATAAATATTATTGTACACCCGTTTTTTAGAAATTATTATTCCGCTTTGGAGCAAGTCGAGATTCTACTTAAATTTAAGAAAAATATTTAAAAGAAGTAACACAATAATTTGATGAATTTTGCAACAGTATATTAAAAAATCACAATTTGAAAGGAAAACATATGACTAAAAATTGCTGAGAAACAAAACACATAGACATTTTTACTTTATAATACCGGCATGAGTGGACGAATAATTTTTATTAAGATTTTTGACTTGGATACTTGTCTTTTAAGCTATGTCTTCATTTTATTTAAGATCTTTGTTATAGATTTTTTCTTGACAATATGCTGATGTGTCACATTGCGAAATTTTTGTGAGATTTTGACAGCTCAACCTAGTAGACAGTCGATGACGACAATCACTCAAGTTCATAAGGCGCGTAAGCATTTAAAATAATGTGAGATTTATATCAACAACAAAGCTTAGCAGCCCGTGGTTTCTGGTGGTGGTGTCGATAACACTGAAGCGTCGTTCATTGTTTATATCAAAATCGAAGCAATTGTTTAGTTGTTTTCTCTAATGTCACGGCCACATACATCGCGATAACGCGAATATTCGCGTCAGGCTAGCGCTTTCTAGGCGATTGATGTATTTTTAACACTACGTGAATAGTTTTTCGTAAACACTTGTTGTAATTTTTGTTTAGTACTTAGTATTTAAATTGTAGGATTAAATAGTTCAAAAAATTTAAATGTGATTTAAAAAATAATATAATATGTGTATAATATAACCTATCTATTTGATAAATTATAATGGCAAAACTTCGAACCTACTGTACCTAGTTGTTGCGTGGATGGATGCATAATGAACAAACAAAAGGATTCAGATATATCATTTTTAAGTTACCTATACTCTATTTCAATTACGAATTCCCATCTGACAGATGTCAATAATCAAGTACTAGTGAAGTACCGCTATAGTCGATACTTGACGATATTGATCTTCGATTACTATAACGAACAAATTAAAATCGTATTCACAGAAAAAGGATTAGCATCAAATTAAAATTTATAAAACTGCTTTTTAATTTTAATTAGATAAATGTTTATTAATAGATAAATGTTTAATTACATGATATTTTTATCAAGATGGAACATATTCATCATCACTAGCCGAAATCGATATTTCATGGTCGGTATTGTCGTCATCACCCTCATCATCGTCTGTAGAATTCCATATATTTATTATAATTTGGTTATCTATGACGGCATTGATATGTATGTCTCTGTCCCAATCAACTTTCCCAATTCACGGCAGTAACACTATCACAAGCTTCTTGCAACAATGACAGCATTTTGTTTGCAGTTCGGAACAAATTTTCATGGCCGACATAATACCCGGCGTTCCACGTATAACTATTCCAAACGACAATGGACGTTGGAAGAAATACAAATCTCAGTGCCTACATAAGCAACCGTGAAATAATCCATAGAGTGCTGTAAAGCGTTCGAAATTCGTCGGGTATTTAAAAAGTTAAAATATGAAACTAAGCGAAATATGATCCATAAAACCATGTTTTCCGTACTTATCGGAAAAACTAGTACAGCTGCATGTTAACCCCTTTCAATGTGTAGTGTCCGCGTACGCGCATCCCTACTATTTGCATATGTAAGAAATCATTAAAATAAACCAAATCAAATAACAGTCAAAACTTAATAACAACGAAAGAATTATCAAACAGTTATAACTACAATAACAAGAACGAAATAAAAACACAACACAAAATCAACTAAACTGAACGCGCGTATCGTATACAAGGCTTCTGCACTCGTACTGAAGAGACAAACAAAATGGCGGTCGTGATCACGAGGTGGACGCTGTGTTGACAGATTTTCACTCGCGAAAAGAATCTGTCTATAATCGATTTTATACGATTCTTTTGTCACGTCACTATGTAAAAAAGTAAAAATAAAACTATAGAACGTAAACGCAAAACGGCAGTAAAATATTAGTATCTTTTAAAGTTTTAATTGTTTTGAGCATGATGTCTAAAAACAATATGTTGATTGTGTGTGTGAATTAATTGTATAATGATTTAGATTGATTGTGTATTTTTAAATGATGATTTACGACCATGAACAAAAATGATTATTATTTCAAATTATGCAAAACGTGAAGAGTTACGTTCTAAGAAGTGTCAAAAGGGACTTCGTAATTGGAATAGAGTATAAGGATAATGAAAGGTACATTCATTTCATTTTTTTTGTTAAATAAATACTTATAGAAAAAAAGCATTACGATATAATGTAAATGCAGAAGTAAAACCTAAGTACTTTATTACAATAGTTGAAATGTATGTAGGTAAATTAAAGTAGGTAACTTACATGTTTTTGTAATTAAAATATTTTGAGTTATCACAAAGCACTGAGATTAAAACTTTGTTTACAAGATTTTTAACTAACTAGAATACAATCACATTTCATTTAGGAATCGTATTGCAGCTTTATTTATTATTTCACTACCGACTTCCATTTCTTCCGAGCGATTTATTAATAGCGATTCGCGATGAGTGACCTTGCACGATGCATTCGTTAGGCACAGAATTCGCATAGTAGCAAAAATATGTTCATTCGATCGGTCAGAATAGGTACCTTATCTATTTTACTTACCATTTCGCAACGTTTAATATTTATTTATTGCACACAACATATAAACTTATGTACAATCAGGTGGCCTCATCGCTTAACAGTAATCTCTTGCAGGCAAACCTTGGTAACGTACGAGTAGCACTACATATTATTTATTCTATGCCTTGGTGAAGGAGATCCGTAAATAGAATTGTGCATAAATCTTAGATAAATGAGCATATATTAATACATATTATAAGCTTAATAAGTACCTACTTTCATGTGTTTTTAATATATTTTTAATATATTCTTGACAGCCCTAAGTAACCACGGAAAAACAGCCGTGATATAGGAATGGAAAAAGATGCAAGGTAATACGGACACTCGCGCGCAATGATAAAGGTTTATTTAGCTTGCGTGCGCAATTTATCTTATTAATAATAATTATGTAGGCTATTAAACATCGGCAAACAGTCAACATCAAAAGAGTGAAACTTCTGTACGTAGTACAATTATTTGTTCTGTGGTATCGCCCACGATACAACCGACATTGGGCTGCATTTTTTCGTTGACTTATGTATCAAAGTATTTATTATATAAGTGTAGCAAAAAAAACATAACTGCACTAGCTTCAATGCTTTGCTGAGAAGTCGCTTATCTTGGGCATGTAATTACAAATCAAGGTGTTTCGCCTAACCCTTATAAGGTAAAGGCTATTACTCAGTTTCCCACATCTAAGACTCCTAAAGATGTATAGTCATTTCTTGGATTAACAGGTTACTATCGTCGTTTCATAGAAAACTTTCTCATATCACAAAACCTCTTACTTCCTTACTTAAGAAAGGCAAAATCTTTCACCGGTCTTATGAGCAAGAACATGCTTTCAATCAACTTAAACAAAAGTTGGTTACAGCTCCTTTACTACAATATCCTGACTTCTCTCGACCTTTTATCGTAACTAATGACGCTTCTAATTACGCTATTGGTGCAGTTTTGTCTCAGGGCGAGATTAGTAAAGATAAACCTATCGCCTATGCATCTCGTACTTTAAATAAACAAGAAGGAAACTTTTCGACTACCGAAAAGGAATTATTAGCAATACTCTTCGGTATTAATACTTTTCGACCGTATCTTTATGGGTATAAATTTAAGATTGTCATAGATCATCGCCCTCTTACATGGCTTTTCAATGCCAAAGATCCAGGTGGACGTTTGCTCAGATGGCGATTAATATTAGAGGAATACGATTATGAAATCGTTTACAAGCCAGGTAGAATTAATTCAAATGCGGATGCTTAATCTCGTAATCTAGTAAACGCCATCACGCATTCTAAATTAAATAAGACTACATATGAACAATTTTTTAAGAAACAATTTACAAAAACAATTTCTAATGATACACAAATTGAAGAGCACAATCAAAGTTTATATACTGCGAAACAAAAAATAATTGCTTGTCCAGTCTCTCTAGACTTTGATTGCTCTATGTCGAACTGTGAACAGCTATTGTCAATGATAAATAATACTGCCGAGTTGTTATCAGCGGAACGCGAACCTAAAACCGTACACTCGGTCGCCTCTAACAATAAAACATTTTACTTTCTTTACATAAATTCATCACTATAGAAAAGTTAATTAAGATAATTTATAATTTATTACGTAAGTTAGGGACTTAATTATTTCAAAAGATAATTATGATACTGAGATAGCATTATCTGACTTTTCGGAACCATTTACAAAGTTAGTATACTTAAAAAATTTCAATATAATATCTTAACTTTATCTGTACAAATATTAAGGTTCACATATACAAGAATCGAATACAATACCCTTCTCCAGCCGAGATTCCAAACATTTTAAAAGAAAACCACGGGACTACCGTAGCTGGTCACCCAGGTATAAAACGCATGTATAGTAGAATTAAATCCTTGTTTTACCGGAAAAATATGCGTGCAGACATAGAACGCTTCGTTAAAGATTGTACACTATGTCAAATTAATAAGCCGTTGCGCACTTGTAATAAGGCACCCATGGTCAAAACGTCCTCAAGCACCAAGCCGTTTGAAAGATTGCGGGTAAATACGGTGCACCGAAACGGGTCTTCAAAAATTTTAATACATACTAACGCTCCAGGATGACTTAACCAAATTTTCTTGCGCCTATCCAATGATTACTTCGACAACTGATGAAGTCGCGCATAATCTCATTCACTTTATTTCTTTATTTGGGTTTCCTAAAATGATTCTAACTGATCAAGGTTCATGCTTTACTTCAGAGTTATTTAAGCAATTGAATCGCATTTTTAAAATTAAAAATATATTCTCGAGTCCATACCATCCCCAAATGGCGCATTGGAACGTAGTCACGCCACCCTTAAAGAATATTTAAAATCATTTGTAAATGAGAACCATGACGATTGGCACTGTCATCTTGCTCCTGCAATTTTATCTTACAATACCACTCCACATTGTACTACCGAATTTACTCCTTTTGAATTATTGTACGGACATAAGCCGTTTATCCCTAGTAGCATATACAACTTTGATGACAATACAACTTATCACGAGTACATTCGCGCTCTACAATACAGAATGAAATACTCCCGGGAAAAAGCTTTAGAAAATATAAATAAAAGCAAGGAATCTTCAAAAAGGTACTATGATGCTTCTTCGCGAGAAATATCTTATAAAGTAGGTGATTTAGTCTATATTAAACAACACCATAGGTTAAGCAAGGCCCTGTTAACAGCAAAAATAATGTTACTGTATGCATAAATAGGAAACACGTAAAATACCACATTAATGAAATAAAACCAGCGTAAATTATGTAATAATTGTTTCAGATTTCTCCTCCGATCGAGTTATTCAGAACCGATTGAACAAATTGTACATAGTCCAGGGTTATACTTCGATCCGACTTCTATGGCATAATTCTACAACGATTATTGGAATGTAGTAAAATATGTAGAAATTATATCTATAAAGCCTTATTTAAAGAAAATTGATCAATCTATTTCAAGCATCTCTAGTTTTTGTGAGAAGGCTCAAAATACCGCGATTATTACTATAGATTTCAAAGATATTATAAACCCGTTAGAAATTTTAATTCACGCTAATTATCTTAAATACGACTCGTTATCACATATTATTTCCGAAAACCCTATTAATCGTTTTAAAAGATCTCTTGAATTTGGCGGTCAAATTCTTAAGTTTTTCTTCGGTACATTAGATGCCGATGACGCCAGAAAATACGATGAAGCTATTTCTACTTGTCAGCATAATGAAAACGAGATATATTCGCTAATGAAAGACAACATACACATTATTCAATCAACCATCAATAATTTTAATGTTTCTATTCGTCAATTAAATAATAACGAAATTAGATTTAATAAATTTTCTTTCTAATAGCAAAATTAGCAAAATTAATGTGGAATTTCCCATTTCCTGATTATTAGAGAACATACATACAATTATTATTGATCTAGCCGAATTAACTTCGTATTACTATAATAATAAGATAGTATTTGTTATAAGAATTCCTTTAATTAACCCTATTAAGTTTAGTGTTTATAAGATTTTACCATTACCTACACAGCATGATAAGTATAATTTACAAACTTATGTTCTCATTCATCCTTCTGAGCTGTATGTAGCCCTTACGGATGATAGATTAAATTACGCATTGTTTGATAGCTTGAGTGAGTGTAAAAACGTTAACAATAAGTTTATGATATGTTTGTCACCTTCTGTTTTGTCCACAATTAATAATCTAACCTTTGAAACTCAACTCTTGACTGAAGTAATTATGTCACTTCCAGAAATATGCGATTCGAAAATAATACATATATGGTAATATTAATTTATGGCAAAAACTTAGTGATGGACGATTTATTTATGTTCAGTCTAAACCAAATAAATTGACTGTTAAATGTACAAATGATAATAAGATTTCGGATTATACCGTACAAGGCACTGGAATATTATCTTTAAAAAATGATTGCGTTGCATATTACCAAACATTGCAATTTCACACATCGCATAATATATAAGGCTGTGCCTGCCTAGCCAAATATCAATCGATTTTAACATAGTTGAAGATAATTGTTGCAAATACAATTTATTAAACCACAGTTCTAATGTCCTAAACCCAATTACGCTAACAGATATTGATTTGGAATCATTCAAATTAGCGTCATATAAATTAGGTAGTTTAAAGAATCAAATTCATCGAGCCGAGAATCAGCCTCATATTGTTAAATACGAGCATTATTATTCAACGCTTACTTATATTGTAATTTTTAGTTATATACTGTATAAGATATATAATAAATGCTTTTCAAATTGTTGTAAAAATACATCTTGTTGCATCCAAATATATAATCAGTGTTATATTAAAAAATGTAATAAAAACGATACTAATGTTAACACTTCTATTGAACTAACGGATATTTCCGATGAATCAATTGAATGCGACAAGAAATCGATTAGCAGTCTCCCAGAAATAGAGATAAGTAAAAACAAGGAAGGTTCAATTTAGGAAATTTAACAGAGCTTCTTATAACCGAAATTAAGGCAATTATTAAACAATTAAAATTTTTTAATTACTTTTCTTAACATGTTACTTGTTATAAATTAAATAATATTGCTAATATACTTAATAAGAATAAAATGTATAAATTTCTTCTTAAAGTCATTTTAATATTTCTAATCATGTTTTTAGTTTCAATTGATAATTATTATAAATATAGTCAAATAACAATTAAAATTGTAAAATTCTTTTCAAAACTATTTTTTAATTTTTAAACAAGTTTCTTAGTTATTAATCGATTAATATTTATATTACATTGCTTTATAATGTAGCGATTAAAATTCACTCATTTCTTTTTCAAGTTTTATATTTCTTATTATTATGTTTCTTAGTTGTTAATTGAATAAGAATGTCAATTAAAATAAAGCATTAGCTATTGCAATTGTATCAGTTAAATTTTTTATAATTGTTGAATGATTTAACTGTATTTCAATATTTTATTGTATTAACTTAGG